AGCAGGAAGGTTGGAAAGTGCCGCACATGCCCAGCTTGGTGAAAGGTTTCAGGAAACGGATGCCCCACATGGCATGTTCCCTGAGAAAGCAGCAGAAATTGCATTGATGTTTATCCTGCCAGCTAGTGCTGACTGAGCATTAATTTCCCCAAACATACCCTGTACAGACATGGACCCTTTGGAATAGACAAATATTATTAGTTTGCATCTTAAATATTATTAAGGTCTAGAGAGCTGTTGCCCAACAGTAGAAGTCAGAATGAAATAAAGTAAATCAGAAGCTGGGACATCCCAAAACAAGTTGGCTGTGCTGTTGCTAAAGGTGAGTGCCTGGAGTCAGGGTTGAGATGTGTTTATGGCATGAAATATAAGGATCTCTGATAACAGTAACTGAAACCCTCTGCTGATGAGTGCTTTATGGGACAGTATGCATTGTAGGGTTATGTGTGAGGCTGCTTCCTGAGCTTTGTGTGAATAGAGTCTCAGCTTGAATACAATTTTCCCATTTAAAAAATATTTTAGAATATGCATTATCTTTCCTAGCTAATTGTTGTGTAATATTAATTTGCAGCTACAAGCCTGAAATAGACTCTCATCCCCTATGCAAGGGAATTTAAAACCAAACATTTTTGTATATTATTGCATATAACTTTCAGCTCATAAAGATGAGTGACACAGAAAGATTGGGACAAGGAAAATAAGGAAGCACGTGGCTATCTATGTGCCCTTTTTTAAATAAATTAAAATAATCTGGTAATTACATTTTTATTACAGAAAGTAGTAATGAATCATTCTCATCTCTCAGGATACAGTAACATGGTAAATTTCTTACAGGAATTATGGCAAAGATCTTGAAGAGAGATGTAAAAGAAAGGGGAGTGCTCTTACAAATTATGGAAAAAGAATGTTTATGTGAGACACTGAAAACAAGTCAGGGAAAGCTGAGACCATGGGAAAATCAAAGAGGGTAGAGTGGTTTGGGACAAGAGATGGCAGTAGGAAATGACAAGGTTGTGAATAGCTTGGAAGAAGAGGACATGAAAGGCAGGAAGCCTAGCTTCCTTAACATTGCATCATGTTTTATTTTTTACTTTTCTATCCTGCTAATCATTCCAGCCTCTCTCTTAACATTTAGAGAAAGAAACTCAGTTACAGAAAGATAATCTGTTTCTGCTACATTTTGTTAAACTTTTCCATAATTTTGAGTCCTTTATTGTATATATACAAGTGTTCCTGCAGTATGCAATCCAGAATCTCTATGGGTACTGATAAAACTAAATGGCAAGCAGTAAAGTGAGTGCCATATTCTCCTCTGCATCACATCCCCTTGGGGGCTACCAGGAGGTCTAAACCAGCATACTGTTTTACCATGTCACAGGAATTCTGTTCTTGCTCTTAGTGGTAAGCCTGAACATGGTTACTATATTTAATATATTTAAAGAAGGCAAGGAAATAAACTTCTATCAGGTTTGAAAATTTCCAGCAAACCATAGTTGAATCAAGAGAGTAAAAATAAGTATGTAACACTTTTTTTTTTTTTTTTTTTTTTTTTTTAAAAGGGGGGGAAAAAAATTTTAGCAGTGGGCCCTTTGGGGTTTTTTTTTTTG